TTTTTTTTTTTTTTTTTGCTTTTCTGATACTTTACAAGACAAAGAGCAAGACCTTCAAACAAAAGAATCAGGACAAAATGGCCGACAAGTGCTACGCGACCCAAATATAAGTTTTTTAATCTTCACCCCCCCCCCAGTGAATTCGATTGTGAGGGAAATGCAGTCGCAAAACGGTCGCAGCGGTCACGATGAGCTTGCGGCTGGCTGACCTGTGGGAAGCGGAATGCTGCTTCACCAGCCTGGTGACTTCTTTGGTGTTCCCCACCTCGCCGTCGGTGAAGACAAAGAGCTGGGAGGGGAGAGTTTGCACTCGGCTTCAAAGTGACAAAGTTGACTTGCGTTTGACCCGACGCCTTCAGGTGTACGGGGGGGCCCCCGGGCGGGGCCCGCGCTGGCTTTCTATTCATGGCCATGTGTCAATACCAGCTGGCTTTTGTTTCATTTCTAAAGGCGGAGCCCGCCCCCGCCTCGCGGAATTCATTTCTCGTCCGCGCCTTTGCGTCGAGCGCAGCCGCAAAAGGGCGAGCGTTACCTGTCGCGGTTGAGCGGGAATGGGGGGCTGGCCGTAGATGTGCTTGAGGGGCTGAAGGATCTCCGTTCCCCCCAGATCGGCGCCCATCTGCTCCACCTTCTTCAGAGCGTCCACCAGGGTGGCCTCGCCGTACTCCACGCTTTGACTGACAACAAAGGCAAAGCGCACCAACGGTTACAAATGAGGAACGGGTTATAAATGAGGAACGGGGGCGAACGGTCGCGCGCCGCCGCTTGACAAAGTTTCCACGCCACTTTCTGTGCACCACTTGTGGGGAAAAAAATGAGCCGCGTGCGATTTTTGTCAGATTACGGAGAGGAGTCGTCGGAAGTGGCTGCAGTCTGTCCGTGAGACCGGGGAAGGCCATTTTGGTGGAGGCGGCTCTGGCGGCGGTTTGGAGCGAAATATGTGTGTGTGGATGTCAAGAAATCCCGAAGATGGAGTAGCTACATGCTTTGAAAAGTAAAAACCCAAAAGCAACTTCCTCCAATCCGCCCACGGTCACGAGGTTAAAAGAAAAGGTGGCACTCATCCTCTTTTGGCTTTCGGTTTGCCTCTTTGCGCCGCTCACGCCTCTCAGCGCGCCGTCTCAATTGGCACAAACAAACAAGTTTACCACCGAGTGGCCTTTTGCGTATCTGGAGAGGAAGCTGTGGAGGGACAAAAAAAAAAAAAAAAACTGACTGGAATTTGGAATTCTAGTTTTGATCATCATAAAAATCTAAGTGAACCAACCAACCACACAGTCCTTCTCTGGGTTGCCTTGGCAACACTTTGTCTCGATTTGGGTACATTTACACATCGTCGGTGACTTGTGCATCCGGCATTCGTCGACCTCACATCGAGTCGATTGATTGACTGATTGGGTGCTGCACTCGGCACCTCTCAAAGCGACGGCGCCGCGTTGGCGAAGCGCCAGAGTTTCCGGTGGATTCTTACGGGAAGACGTGTTGGAAGGAGGAGCCGAAACTGTAGATGTTGAAGTAGCAGCCCATCGGCAGGCTCTTCAGGAGCAGCAGCAGCGTGTCCTGCGTGCCGGCGAGACACCGAGCGTCAAGGACAATGGCAAGTGGGGTGGGGGGGGGGCATTTCTGGATATTGGGAGTACCCTGGCGCTGCTGATGCGGCTCACGCTCCGATGACACTCATCCATAGGGCAATCCATACTTCCGGATCGATCCAGTAGGAAGACAAACTCCCCCCGAGTGGCGAGCGAAGACGTCGCCGCCGCCGGGGGGAACTCGGGGTACAGGCTCACCATCACCACCGCATCCCCCATCAGCGTGCCTGGACCGACCACAAGACAGGGGGGGGAAGCTCCAGCGAGCACGCGGACGCATGGCAGGAAGCGGCGGAGCTCACCGGGCTCGGCGGACGCTTTTCCTGCCTCCACCACGGCGGCTGGCCGGTGGGCGTCCTTGTAGTAAATCAGCAGCTCCACGTCCCTGTCAAACTGGTGTCCCGCGGCCAGTCGAACCTGAAATCCCCCCCCCCGCCAAGCAATAAATGGCATGCCTCGGGAGGGAGCGGCGGCCAAAGGTGTTTGGCGGCCGTCGGACGTACCAGCGCCGAGGTCTGCTCCTTGTCGAGATAGCGCAGAGGCTCCAGGCAACACTCGGAGTCCACTTTGGTGACCTGACGAGGGGACGACACCCGGGCCGAGAAGGACAGAGCGTACGGCGCGCCGGAGGCCACGACGGACGTCACCTTGACGCCTTGGCTTCCTGTGTATTGGGCGCAGCGAAGAAAATGAAAGCCGCGCCCCTCCGAGCCATTTGACGCCAGGAACGGAACGAAGCCCATCCCGGACCGCCCGCTTTTCTTGAGCACGTGGCCATTTTGCCCTTGGTGTGCCTTCATCGGCTCGAGGGGAAAAACTCGTCCCCGGCCGACCGTTTCGGCTGTCGCGTCATCGGCGCTCAACCAACAACTTGAACCAGAAGTGGAGGAGATGAACATCCTGAGCGCTACGCCGGTTCGTTGTCGTGCCGGTTAACAAAGCAGCAAGGACGCTCATCTTCCCCACCTCACGTCAGGAACTTTGCCCGACGGTCGGATGTTGGCTACACATCGGGAGGGGCGGCGATGAACGAGCGAAGGTGGCCGCTGTCCTACCTTGAGGGTGGTAGCGAGGGTTGAGCACCACGGGCAGACAGAACCTCAGCCCGTCGTCCGCCTCCACGGCCAGCTCGGTGACGTACTCCAGCCTGATGGAGGCGCTCTCTCCCGGCGGAAGACTCCCCACGCTCAGGGAGAAAATGTCCGGGCTCTGCTCGCTCTCCTCCAAGAGGAAGGCCTGCCGCCCGGAGCTAAGCGCGTCGTCGTACTCCTCCCGGGCCTGGGGAAGACCACAGGCGGCGTCGGCGGCGTCCTTTTGGGCTCGCCGCTCTGTGGGGATCGCGCTCACCTCTCGTCTCTCCTTCACCTCTGCCACAATCTCGCTTTGCCCGATCTTGGCGGCGAAATGGCAGACGGCCGCCTCGGCGGGCAGAGGGAACACGAAAACGGCCTCGATGGCGCTGTCCTCCTTGTTCTCATAGTGCAGCGAGGCCAGCACGGTGGCCACGTGGTCCCGCACATCCACCTCCACCTCAATGCTCTTCAGAGGAAATGACGTGGAGACACAGGCACACACACGCGCACACACACACAAACACACACGCACACACACACACACACACACACACACACACACACGGACAGGTCAACCGTCCAAACGCAATCGTCTGCATGGAAATGCGCTTGTAATGCGGAGAGCGGTTTGTCAAGCTGCCCGTTTGGGCCCTTCCAGCTCAATCGGTGACTCCACACTCGTGAGATATTCC